TTTTTTGCAATCTCAAACTGTATCCTGCTAAGGATAAAGTGTGAAATATGATTTTTTTTTCCCCCTCTAGTTACCTAATGTGGTCTCTTTTCTCATCTACCTAAATGTGTGATTTCATTACTTTTCATAGATTTTCAGATTTCTCAGAAGGATTACCAGCGAAGACCAAATATTATTAGTATTTGAAAATTTGGACTAAAGCTGTTTTTACACCAATGACCAGAGAATTTTAGAATTTCTGAAAAGGATTGTATTACAACTATATCATACCAGTGACAGCCAAACATTATTAATATTTCAAAGGTTTGGACTAAAACTGTTTTATACCAGTGACCCAGCTTATTTGAATGATGGGACCACAACTGCCTCATACCAGTGACCTCAAGGATTAATATTATCATTTTTCTTCTAGCACAGGATGAATTCCTTACCACAGAGGACTTAATGAGCTAATTACCTCTGTTAGAAAGATTGGATTAGAACCAGCACTTACCAGTAAACTCCCAAGGATTATTAGTGTCATTTGATTTGTTTTTCTGTGTTTGATTTTCTGTATCATTGTAATGTTTTTCCTCCTGTACAGCTCTTTGAGTGCCTTGTTGCTGAAAAGCGCTATATAAATAAACTTGACTTGACTGAATCAGAGGTACTTTTCCACAGGGAGCCCTGATGCTCTTCTATGCTGCCAGAATCGCTGTACTTAAAGGGAACTTCACATTTGTAAGTGTTTAGTGTCTAATTGAGTGCTCTTGATGCCACACATGGGGTTGTAAATGAAAACTAATATTCAGGGAGTTTGGCCCTCTCTGCAGGCTCAGGAGAAGTTCGTAGCATGTATAGCAACACAGGAAGAGTGGCGTCAGATTCACCACCTGTGTTACTGGGAGCTGATGTGGGCATACTCCTTTGAGCAAAACTGGATCGAGGCGTATCGATACGCCAACCTGCTCTGCAAGGAGAACAAGTGGTCCCAGGTATCCTATGGGACCTTTTCCACCTTTGAGATGCCAATATATCATATGTTTTTTCAGGTTATACAATTTAATGTTGATGCTTTCTTCTAGGCGACATATGTATTTCAGAAAGCTGCCATCTTAAGCATGCTTCCAGAGGAAGAAGTAACCAAGCTGGGAGAAAATGTAGTGGCACTATTCAGGTGTGTAAAGAAATGAACAATGCCTCACCTTTGTTGTTCTGTGGTTGTACATTTCAAAATGAAGTAAATGTATTTTGGTTTGTAGGCAGGTGGATGGCCTCAGATTAAGAATAGCAGGAAAATCAATTCCCACCGAGAAGTTTGCTGCAAAGAAGGCCCAGAGATACTCCTCCCCGAACCCTCTGAAGCTTGTGGTGCCTGCTTTGGTCAGAACATGTGCATGAGCTTTCAGTAAAAACTATAAGCCAGTTTTGTTTACTACAATGAGTCAAATTTATCTCTCACAGGAAATGATGTATGTGTGGAATGGCTTCACAGTAGTCGGCAAAAGGCCAGAGCTGACTGAGGCCATCTTGTCGACTCTGGAGAATGCAGAAGAGCAGCTCAGGAATGATTCAGGTGCAGCAACAGAAATAAGTAAAAAATATATAAACCTTTAAGATGAAAATGAAAACTAAAAGTCCATGTAATGTGCAGCTCCCTCAGAGTACCACATGGATGACCTGTGTGTCGTGCAGATGTTGAAGGGCCTGTGTTTAACGCAGCTGGGACACCAGATTCAGGCTGAGATCTGCTTCAATTTTGTCATTTTCCAGTGAGTTCACATCATTGCAGCAACATAAAACACTACCAGCTACATGAGAAATTCCCATTAAAGACTTTGTTCTCTTACCTTTTGATTTACATGGTGTTTTGTATAAAAAAAATAACTGAAGATGATGGTTATATGTTTTAGCCAACTGTTTTATGGTATTGGTGTCAGTTATTTATATTCAGTGCATTTTAATACCAAATGTAAAGTACTCTGAAGAGGTTTAAAAACAACGGTTTTGTGTTCAGGGTCAGGATAAAATACCCCATTTTGGTTCTTTAAAACTACTTCCATTAGATGAACAGTAACAGAAAGTCTTATCTTTGCTTAAAGATTTGGTTTAAAGCTAGTTCTTTGCTAAGTTCTCTGTTGTCTGTAGCAGTGGGATATGCTGGTCTGGGGAAGCTCAATTTCAAGATCACTGATTTGCTGTCAATCAAAAAGGGATTCAGCCTCAGACAAATCATCGTGCAGAAGCTGAGCGTCCAGGCCAGCCGAGGCCAGCCCACTGCCCCATAGACCCCCAGAGACGCTGAGCGTCCGATGGGCGGGACAAAGACCAGCATTTTTGCTTCGCTTTTGAACTCACTGTTTAAAGCAATGTGAAGCTGCGGGAATGAGTGAGAGGAAAGCCACGTCGTTACCAGAGATAAGAAGCTGATTCTGAACAAAAGTTGAGCGCGTTGTAGCGCATATTTAGTCAATGACATGTACACACAACAGTATATATTTGATCACTTATTTTTTGACATTTTAGGGGAAGCTGAACTTCCCTTGCAGTCTTAGAGCAATCGCCACTGGATGGTATGCATTTCTGATTTTACTGAACCTCATAAAATTGGATCTCAGTACAGGTACGCAGTGACTGTCAAGTAATTGCTTGTCATGTTGCCTTATTACTATTTTTAGTTTCAGTTCATTTTAAGTGCTGTAAAAACGTTAACCTTCATTTCATGGACAAATTTATTCAGATTACTCAAACCACAATTATGTGGTTGCTAAGTTTCCACCACAGGAGGAAGTTTCTCTACAATACCCAGCAAGCTCTGCTTCTGCTTGTTCTTTCACCTGGTGCCACTAGCAAGTGGACAGTTTAATAGTTAAAATCTTTTTAAAAGTAGCCTTATCATATTCTCCTTATTTTATCTCACAAAAAAGTTGGAATAATGGCATCTGAACAAACTTAGATCAGCTCTTATACTAGTGAGTAAAACTACTATATAGATACATATTTACAAAAAATACCTTTCCTATTTTATTTTTTAAGTATTTAAATTCAAAATGTCTTCATCGAAAGCCAAGTGCAACTGAAGTCAAATTCCTTGTTTGAAACCTGGTGAATAAAGATTCTGAAAGTAAATCTAACTACTGGACTGGAGTATCAAGCACTAAATGTGTGTTATTTAAAGCAGTTTTGTGATTTTTTTTTTTCCTTTGTTCCATTTGTTAAAAAACAGTTTTATAGTTTTGTTTGACTATTTTTTTTGTGGAACTAGTGGCCTTTATTTTGTAAGTTGACCAACAGGAAATGGGGCAAAGAGAGAGGGGGAAAGACATGCAGCAAAGGATTTGTCCGGACTCAAACCCGTGACAGTTGGGTCGAGGACTGTAGCCTCCATAAATGGGTCGTGCACTTCACCCCTGCGCACCTGCTTTGTTTGACATTTTAAAAAAACTGTTTAGGAACCAAAGATCTAGTTCAATCTGAATTTAAAGTTGCTACAATCCAAATAGCTTGATCTTGTTTTGCCTTTAGAAAATGAAAGAAAGGAAATAGTTTTGATAATCAAACCTTTGTCCATACTCAGTTGTCTTTTTTCCATACTTTTCTAGACCTGGGAAATGATAAAAGCAAGTTGAAGACTTTTCAGGACAGCATAGGAACCTTGAGAGAAATTCAAGTTGCAAAACTTCTTAAAATCAATTTACTTCTATTGGCCACTTATAAAATCTCCACAAGCTTTTCTTTACTCTTTTGCTGAGCAAAGCTATGATTACCATATGGAAAAGAACATGAAGGCAGTGGAAATGAGTGGATATGAGCTCTATAAATCACAACTACCATAAGTGGGTGAGAAATCTTGCTGTGATGAGAGGCGCCACTTTGACAGTTTGTTTCTTTAGATGAATGGCTTTCATCAGCTGGATTGGAAAGAAATAAACCCTGAGGTGTTGCGTAAAATAGACAAAAAATATAAGATGATCAATATGTGCAAAACATATCAGGACACATTTAGATGTAAATTATTTTCACACTAGTTAATTACAAGTTTGAGTGTACATATACAACATTTCCATCATAAATGTGTTAAGTTCAAGGCCTTACAAGTTTAGTTTGAAGCATATGAAAAAGCCAAATGTTTTAAAATCCCCCGTTTTCTCAATTAAAACACAGCTGCTTTGATATCATAATGGCAGAACTGACGGGGATGCATTCACTGTTGTTCTCTTCGTTTTATCTGATGGCGCTTCTCAACCGTGAACAATGACTTGAGATTACTTGACTTCTATACTCATCAAAATTCTCATTTGTGCTAGAATACTTTCCTCCCATTCTCTATCATAATGGGCTCAGAGACTTTTCAAGACAGCCTTTATCAGCGTGCCTCCAAGTGTGAAATGCTTGAGTAGACCTGGAATAGATTATTCACTGAGATGATACAAGGCTTTTATGTCATGAATATAAAATATCCTCCACAGCTCACAGAAGTTTAGGGATTGTTGTCTAGCCATACAACAATTAGGTCTGCAGAGAGGATCATAAGGGCTGACCGTCCCTCCATTCAGGACTTGTACAGTTCTAGGGTCAGGAAAAAGGGCAACTAAAATCTCTACAGACACCACACATCCTGTACACAAACTGTTTAGACTGTTTAGTCCGCTGCGCACCGATCTGGCCGCAAACTTCTCTGCCCTTCTGATTTAGATCTGCATCGCTCCGTTCTGCTGCGATCACGCAATAAAAGCTAGTGGTAAATGAGGAAGCAAGTCCAAAACAACTCATTTTGTGAAAGTTAAACCAGTTAAACTGCTTCACTTTTCGTTTTATGCATCCAGATGTTTTCCTATGTTTTGTTGTACAATGGGTGAGCAAACTGTGCAGGGAAGCTATATTTGTTGCTTAGTTTGGTGCATTTAATGTTTAATTCTTTGGTTCAGTATACCTTTGTTAATGTATATAGCCCAGTAACTGAACTAATTGATCTAATGTAGACAACTGCTAATATATACACTTGTATTTATAAATAGAAATGCATGGTGGCACAGTTAGTAGCACTACTGCCTTGCCACAAGAAGGTCCTGGGTTCAACTCCCGGCCAGGTGCATGTTCTCTCTGTGTATGTGTGGGTTCTCACCAGGTACTCCGGCTTCCTCCCACAGTCCAGACAGATGCCTGTTAGGTCAATTGGTCCCTCTAAATTGCCCTTGAGTGTGTGTGCATTGTTGTTTGTGTGTTGCCCTGCGAAGGACTGGCAACCTGTCCAGGGTGTACCCCACCTCCTGCCCATAGACTGCTGGACATAGGCACCAGCTTCCCTGCAACCCAGTATGGAAGAAGCGGAATAGAAAATGACTGTATTTATAACTATATGCATGTATTTATTGATATAGCAAGATCTAGTCCGTCTTCAGTGAATTATTTTGAAAAACCAGATGTTGTGCTCTTTCTGTTTCCTGGTGGTGTGGTATAATTCATGCAGACTGACTCCGGCAAAAATAGAGAATTGGATGGCCGCCTGCACGTCGCAGCATATGTGCTCTGCCATCTGATGACAGCTGACTGTCTTCTTCTGACTCTGCTTCATCTCTCTCTGATAGTAACTGAAATATATCTAAAGAAACATCAGATTCTATGCTGCTGTCTGTGTTGTCAGCCATTGTAGCAGTAGTCAGTTTACGTGCCGGGGTTCACCTTCTACGTCCTAAAAGAGAACAAAGGAGTAGTCTGAAAGTGCCTTTTTATTAAAAATGTATGTCCATATATCTGAATTTACTTTTTGAAATATTTTATTAATGTTTACTTTCCATAAATGTAATTGGATTTATCATAAAAATTCAGGCACTTTAAATAAAAAACATCTTTTTAACGATGAAATGTCAAATACATCTGTGAACACTTCTGTCGCAATACAGAGAATGGATGTAGTGAGCAGCTTTGCTAGATCGTTTTTAAATCGATAACAGACCCAAAAATGATCATCCTGCATGTATAGTCAAAATAATTAGCTACGGCTGCAATAAAAACATTCCTGATTCTATATCAGCATTCTGACTAGCCTTTCAAATACCTCAATTCACACGTGAGTTTTAAGTGACAATAAAAGCAAAACGACTGCAGAATTTTGAGAGTTTCAGTGCCATGACTAATGGTGTCCTTGCAAAAATGTTTTGACACCTACATTCCTATAGTTAGTTAAACCCTCATGAGTAAAGCATGGACAGATTATATGAAAAAAGGTGAGACATGCACAACCATTGCATGGCTCACTAATATAAAGCATTCTGGTGACACATTATTTTGCTGCCTTGTCTGTGCTCATCAGAGTAAAATTGCTAGGCCGGAGTGCTGATCTATATCGAAATGCTTTCAGAATTTTAATGTTTCGAATAACCTCTTGTCAAAAGCTGTCAATGGCCACTGCGGTAAAGTCCAGGTAGACAGGCTTGCAAAAAAGCTGTTTAAAATCCTAACATCTGGTGCCTGTTTTGTTTGGTCTCCAAGCTGATGTTTTTTGTCTGATATTTATTTTCATTTTTTTTATCAGCACTGATCAGGCTGAATGAATCTTGTGATTGGTAAACAGAGAAAATCTCATTTGGTTTTGAAACACAGCTGCCCCACAAAATGTATAATCTATTTTTGACTATAAGCGATGAAACTGCAATAACGATAAGCAACAAAGTCTTAAAATCACTTCCTTTTTATGCATCAACCAGTACTTACGTACCTTATTGAGCATTATTTCCAGAACTCCCTCCAGGCCCACATTTTTTCAATGTGTAATTACACACCGCTACTTGAGTATTTGTGTCTAGGTGTGTGTACATCTTCGCAAGTGAGTTTCAGAGCCGTCATTGGAGGTCCATAGTTAATGAGCAGTCAAGCAAAAGTCTCTGGGATCAGCCGATCGATTTTCTCCCAGGGCAATCAATTCTATCAAAGGCATTACTTAAACTGAACTTAGATTAAAAGTGGATGACAAACAGCACATAAAATGACAGGATATTTAAAAGTCCTAAGAAAGTAACACACAGAAAAAAGGCTGGAGAAGCAAAAATTAAAACATGTAGGCCTACAGAAACAATGAATGCAGATGGTTGACCAAGGATGGGTGGCACACTTTATCAGAGATTTCTGAACCCTTTAATTGGGACATTATAAAACACAGAATGTGTGCATGCTTTCTAGTGCACAGTGTTGTTGAAATTTAGATTTCATCTTGTTAGAAAAATATTGAATATTAAGCTCAATTGAATTGTCAAATGATGGCATGTAGATGAAGCACATAAAAATACTTTTGCACACAGGGATATGATGCACTGATAAGTGCTCAATCTTTTTTCTTCTTCAAAAACTTGCACATCAAAATTGAGAAACGTCTTAAATGAAAATAAGTGACAGATTTAAGAATTTAAATCGTAGAGTCAACTGATGCATTTTAAAACAGCACAAGTTGAAATAAGCAGCCACATATATTGATGATTAGATAGTACTTAAATGTTTTATTGTGCAATTGGTAGGGGAGTAACGATACATAAAAGTCACAAGATGAGACGAGACACAATATTAAGTTCACAAGAACGAGAAGGGATAAGATTGTAATAATACTTTCAATACAAATTTAAAGACCAACTGAGGAGCAAATGCATTTTTCAGCATTGTCTGTCTTTTGGGTATTGTCTTTAGAGGTGCTGCTGATGTAAGCATGCTAGACTAGCTGTTCTGAATGTGTCTTTGCATTGTGCTAGAGTTAGCTGCAGTGTACGGTAATATGTTTTTGCAGTGTTTACATCCTGTTTGTGTCTTGTCTGTCACTCTGTGCCATTTATCGTTTCTACTGGATCCCAAATGCTGCCAACAAATGATTTAAGAGTAGTGCTTGTGAAGTAGCAGTCACCTGAACAATAAATATTGTGATGTTTTAATATCACGAGGTCTCGTTCTTATGAGATCTAGCAATTGTGGTACAGATTTGAAAGAAAAAGTCAGAGTGGGAACCAACATTTCCTATATAAAATGACATCATTTCTCATAGAAATCAATATTGGAGCTTTATTTTGTTAGCCTGAAGGATTTGGTACTCCATGTCTTTTAAGATGAACTAAGTCACCTTCAAATCTTACCTTCAAACAGCACAGATGGAAACAGGATTGATTTAAATGAGCTGTTCACTAAATATAGGAGATTTTGAGTTGGCATGTTAAGATCCAAGAGTGTTTGTCTTTTCTGAGTTGTGTCTACCTTGTGTAGTTTTTTTGAGACAGTCCTAAAAATATGTTAAGTTATCTACAACCCAATGGGACTATATGCCTTGTGTTTTCATGGCATTCAAACATACACAAATGCATCAAACATAAACTTAACACATGAAATTTGTTCACCATCTAAATCAGATTGCCAGCAATGTCTGGACATGTTGAAAACTTCTCTAGAATGAACAATATATATAATATATATCACACATATGCCACTACTACGGAATGTATGCAAGTGCCAGTCAGATGTTGCAGCAATGACCTGATTAATGCCACCTAATCTCATCCTACATTATGCAGATGCTCTGTCCGCACTGATTAAAAATTCCCTCACCTTGGTATGCCAAATGCTTGGAGTGCCTCCAACTGTATGCACACCCAAACATCTTTATGATGAGCTTAGCAAACTTTGGAGCAGTCCTACACTGGGCTGAACTTTGAAACCAAGATGATCAGGAGGTCATTAGGTATGGGCCCAAAAAAACCCCCCAAAAAAAAAAACAAGACAGCATGTCTCGGTACATGCAAATTAATTTATCCTGACCCAAAAGCACTCTATAGCTTTTACAAACTTAAGTCAGAAGAACATATAATACACAAAATTGGGGGGTGTATCATAAACAACACAAAATTCATAGGTGTGACAAGACCTGATGTTTCAAAAAATCTTCTTAATTTCTTCCCATTTTCATCCATGTAAAACAGAAAACAGTTTTGGATACGCCACAACTGTGTCAAGATAAACACTGCAACACTAACTGCTGTTGAGGTTCCAGTTTTTTTGTTTTTTTTTTTTTACTGGTGCTTATGTTGGTTCTCTAGTTTGGTTTATTTTAGGAAAAAAGTGTATACTTCATATTGGACAAATAGATTTGTGTTTCATGTTCAAGTTCAAGCAAACTTTCAACCCCTCAACATTCAACCCACAAGTTCTGTCATCTCGTTATATTTTTCGGGGGCTGAATATAAATCTGTCTGTATTGCCTGAATACCAATAAGCCTTTTCTTTGCCCAGGGTGGAAGTGGCACAGATGAATATATACATTTCACCATAAATCTAGCTTTACACAGAATTTTTCAACACTATCAATATCTCTTTTAGTAGATTAACTATTCAGTTTTCTTAAAAAACAAAGCTAAGCACCTTGTTTGTCCAAAAATGTAATAATTAGATTGGTAAAATGCAACTTTTTAATTTCTGTTATAATAACATTTTGTTTTCTCTTTACCTAATAATGCATGTAGAACACCATGTTAATCCAGTGATGATTAATGTGTCTGGAAAAAGTAAGCGAAGCTTTCAGTGTCTGACCTTGATTAGATATAATGAGACTTAACCACATGTCTACTGATCTGATGAAATGAGTTGGATTTTAACCTTGGGCTGAATACTAAATACAAGCATTGACTCCAGTTTTACCAAAATACTTATGCTAGTGCACACACTCTAAGCATTTATAAAAGGCATGTGCTCGTATGCAAATCCACACACGTTCTTGGCCTCTGCCAATCAGATTTATCATTCAGGATTTTCAAAGCCCCCTTTGATCACCTCTTCAAGACCCATATTGATGAAAGAAATGGCAAATAGGAGATAGGTTGTAGCTTGATAGTTGAATAATGCGACTGAAGAGGAAAGCGAGATTTCTAGTTCTGGTCTAGGACATATCTTTGCAGTAAAATGCTAAAACTGAGTGCAATAATAACAAATGCCATAATCATAATATGTATTAAAAGCATGGCTACAAATTAATTTGTACTTAGGAGCAGAACAGTGCCTCACCAGTCATCTTTATCTGGGGAGTGAGAGGATGCTCTATGATGACATGCCAAGAATAGTGATATATTAA